CAGGAGAATCACAAGTTCAAACCCAGCCTGGACACTCTAGTGACTTAGAAAGACCCTGTGTCCAAAAAAAAAAAAAAAAAAAAAAAAAAAAAACCAGGCATTGTTGTGCACACCTGTAATCCCAGCCCTCAGGAAGGTGAGGCAGGAGACTTTCTCTCTGCAAGTTGGAGGCCAGCTTGGGCCACATAGTGAATTTAAGACCAGACTGAACTACATAGGAGACCCTGTCTCAAAAGTTTAAAAAAAAAAAAAAAGCAAGCAAAAAGGTCTATATAGCTCAGTGGGAAGGTCCTGGGTTCAATCCTCAGTACTATGGGATGGGAGGATCAGAATCTGAGGTCACCGATATCTCTTGAGTGAGAACTTCCAGAAATGGGGCCCAGCAATCTTTCTTTAAAATGTTTTGTTTTATGTTTTTATTAGTACGTTTGCAGTACATAATGGTTACATTCCTTGGGAGTTAGTACACATACACGACACATCTTAATTCTTCACCCATTCCACCAATCTGTGTCTTAATAAATTCTTTAAATATCTGCAACTTCCATCCTTCTGGATCCTGGCCTCTTTGGCTTTAACCTTCCTGTTGCTCTCACCCTGGCTTCTCACTGTGTTTCTTTACTGACCTCAAGGAGGGCTGATGAGACAACCTGTTCCTCCACAAGTCTGCGCAGGACAGAGGAGAGCAGGGCAACTTGTCCCTCCCTCCATCCCTAGGTCTAAACACATCTATTCAAGAGGCTCTCCAAGTTCCCACTGGGCTTCAGTTGCTTTGCTGTCCAGAGCTTGTGTTGGTTTTGTTTTCCTGCTTTTTTCCCCTTTGGAAACATTCCAAACATTATGGCTTGGGCTACTAAGTGAGTTCAAGACCAGCCTGAATGCACAGTCACCTTCGACACTGACCCTTTCTCCACAGATGCTGTGAAGCCACATTCCTCCAGCTCACCTGAGTGAGTGGAGTTCTTGGGCCCAAGTGTGCGTCTTTGCATTTATCTTTGGTGAATATCATTTTACTAGATCCTAGTGTGGTACCATCTGCTAGGTTCCTGTTTCTGTCAGTTCACCTATTAGCTAAGCGTCACCTTTGTGTCCTCTGCTGGTGCAGCTGGAAGGTCGTGCCTGGAATCACTACAATGTGAGTGTCTTTGTTAGAGGCTGTCTTCACAGCTGGTGAGGATGCATCATTACCATGGCCTCTTTTGCAGTCCCTTGAGGTTGCAGCAGGAGGACAGGAGTCACCAGACCTGGTGTCCTTCGCACTGGAGCCGCTGTTACCCTAAAGCCCTCCCTTGCGTGGCATGAGAGGCCATCCTGGCATTTGTCACAGCACAGCCATTGCCAGCATGTGGTCTGTGATCATGAAGGTGGCTTCCTGTCCCTTTCACTGTGTAGAGCATCAGCTTGGGCTCTCTGTTTTAGTTGGCCAGATAAAGGTGGATTTCCACTTGCTTGCAGTCAGCTTAAAATGCATTCAAAAATTTAAGAAGCAAAGATTTGTGTCTTGGAATTTCTCTCTACACTCTAGAACTCAAGTCTAAATTTAGCCAGGAAACCCAGGTTATCTAATTTTTTTAAATGTGAAATTTTTTAAATGTAAAATTTGTGTTCATACATAACTCTTAAAGGAGCACAGTTAGATAATGTAATTGCACAAAAAGCTGTCAGAGGCAAAAAGCAGAACATTATGACAAGAATGCCTTAAGCAAGGTTGCTAGAGCATGAAAAAGTACCTGGATGCTGCACTGCTACAGCAGGAGCCTTGTCCAGCCCCAGCTCAGCCTCTTGCAGTGGAATTCCCACTGTCAACCAAACTTTAGGATCCCTAAATCCAAGCTTGTTTTCCTCCTATGAGGTACCACTATGACCTTCTTACTGTTCTTCTCCTGGTGCTGGGAGTTAAACCCCAGACCTTGTGCATGCTGAGCGTACACTCTTACCACTAAGCCACACCCTCAGTCTGTCCCTTACCATGGTCTCCCTTACTATGAAAAGCAGAAAGTGCCTGGTGGTCTCTAGTAAATCTCCTTATAGGGCAGAGACACATTTCACCTTTATCCTTTTAGGCCAGCCCTCAGAATTGAATTGACATAAGGAAGATCAGAAAAGCATGCAGATGTATTTAATACGAGTCTTATGTGACCAGGAAGAAGATCCAGAGACACAATTACTGCATCCTTAGCAGCTGGATTGGACAGATAGTGATAAATTATGAAAATGAGAAAAACCGAGGGGACTGGGTGAACTGGGTGTAGAAATGACCAGGATGATGAGGGTGGGCATAACAAAGAGGACCTCAACTTTCTGTCCACAGTGATAATTGTGTCATGTGAAAATTTCACCTCCTACTTTTAAGATACAATAGGAAGTGACCACGCCCTCTCTGTGTTTTAAGTCAAAGTAGCAAGCCATAGTGCCATACTTGAGGGTACCTATTCTTAACTCCTTCATAGGAATACTCTGTACTTCTTTCATTTTTATTCTCCCCAATCCTCTCTTGTTGGTTTGCTATTTTTTTACTAATCTAGTAAAGAGAAACTAGATGAGGTTGACCCTTTGGGGAAGGGCTCAGGCTTGTCCACTCAGAGTGTCCGTTCTTGGGAGGGATGGACCTGTTTCTAAAATCTGTCAGCCAGCATTTCTCCTGGGGGCCACACGATCCAGACAGCAGTGGGGTGGGGGTGGGCTCCACCCGGATGCTAGGACCAGGAAGAACAGCTCCCAGCACAGCTCCTGTGTGGCAGGGCCTCCTCCTCCTCTTCCTTCTGCCCCTCTGTGCCCTGGCAGCATATGTAATATGACAGTCGCATCCCCACATTCCACCTTTGGAGCCTGCCCTTCCACCCCGTCATCAGCTTCTACCAGGTTCCCTCTGCTTTTAGCCTTTCCAGTACCATCCCTGCCCCGCCTGAGTCAGAAGGGTCAGGAGACAGACATGGATGACACCAAGTGGAGACAAATTAGGCTGGAAAGAGTGGAACGTAAAAAAGTATTAATAGAATGGTGAGGAGTTTGCGGGGCTGTAAGAAGGGATGGTGGGATTGGAGAGAAGAGTCAGAGTAAGGGACAGAGGCATTTCCAAATGCTAGCTAATGACTCCTCTTTTCTGGAAAATGGTCTCTGCATAAAGAACTTCAAATGTAACAAAACATCTAGGAGGTTTTTCTTTTTTTTTTTTAACTTGTGCTACCAAGACACCTAGGAGTTCCCTGTTTATTTCTCTGTGTTCCTTGAGGCAGCACAGAGTCTAGTTGTTTCTTCCCGGAAGCTAGCACAGCCCCTGCCTGGCACCTGGTAGACACACAGCACACACTTTTGGATGGGTGGGCAGCCCGTTGAAGGGAGATGGAAACTTAACAGATGAGACTGTAAGGTGTATACTCAGAAGAAGTAAAGGCTTGAACTGGCACAGGTATTGATTCACCCATGTTCACTGAAGCATTAATTACCACAACCAGAGGTGGAGGCAACCCAGGTGTCCATGGACAGACGCATGGATGAGTGAAATGTGGCAATATACACACAATACCACGTCTTCTAGTATTTCTTAAAAAGGAAGGAAATCTCAGGATGTGCTTCCACACAGATGAACCTTGAAGACATTATGTTAAGTGACATGTACCAAACGTTGGACAAATGTTGTATGACTCCCACTGTACAGATTCCTAGAATCTTCACATTCATAGAGATGGAAAAGTAAAACGGTGGTTACCAGGGCAGGAGACAGAGGAGATGCGAAGCCAGTGGTTATCGGGTACAGTGGGTGAGCTGAAAAAGAGGGAAATGTGTGGATGAGTGCTGATGGTTGCACAACATGAAATTATTTAACATCACAGAACTGTTTACTTAGCAATGGGTACAGTGATGAGTGTGTAAAAATCCCATGGATACCATTGATGTGCACAATTAATACATGCTAATAACAATTCCTAAGTGCTTAAAAGTGGTAAATTTTACATTATGTATATTTTACTACCATAATAAAATATTTTTATTATCATCAAGTCATAAATATGGAACAGTAAAAGTTATTTTTACAGCAAAGAAGTGAAAGTGTGGATTATAGAAAAAAGGCAACAATGATACCAAAAATGTGTTCTTTAGATCTTAACACAGGGCAGGAACTTTCAGAGTTAATTCTGTCTCTCTCCATTATCCCTATGATTTTCTCAAAAAAGACAAAGAACTTTTTTAGTTTGAAAAAAGTCAAACCTGCAGGCAAGTCAGAACAGCACTGTGGGCACCCATGCATCCTGCTGTGAGAAGTGTGGACACTTCTGCTGTGGCTCCCAGCCTGTCCCATGGCACTTTGTGGCTGTCGCCCCTCAGGAATGGTTTTGGAGTGCGAAGTTGGGGAGGAGTGGTGAGCATGAAGCCAGGTCCTAGTCTACAGCACAGCACCTGTCAGTGTCACCCTGCTGGTTTACATAAATGCCTTTGACCTTGACCATCCGCTGTGTGGAGATCTAGTTTCCCACCCAAGCCTACGCAGTACAGTAGCTCGTCAGTCATCCCCGGAGCCGGTAAGTCAGTGAGTGCCCTTGCTCCTGCTTCACCAATGAGGAGGCAAAGGCTAACTAGATTTGTGACATCTTGTGGTTGGCTGGGGGCATCGATTCAGAGCCATTCCTTTATGTTTCAGACCTGTAGGATGAAAGCAGGAGGGTCAGGTGGAGTGGGTGAGTATGTGGCCAGGGGAAGAGGAGTCATGTCAGGAGGAAGGGAGGAAAGGGGGACATGCACAGCTCAGAACTGCTTCACCTGTTTGGAGTAGATAATCTGACATCTTTTCACATATGTAAGATGGTGCTAACATCTTTTTCTTGAAAAACAGTCTCTCAAACCCATATAAAAAGCACTCAAGAAGATAGCCCACGTGCATGGTGACCTTCAGGGACCACATGGCCTGCCCCCACTGTGACTAGATGCCACATACCCAGAAGGTTGACCATATGCACCGAAGGGTGCTTAACCGAGGCGGGGTGAGCTGATTACCATGCTTGCAGCACGGGAATTAATTTGGTGAGTTGCAGGCTGCCTTCAGGTGCTTACCTAGAGCCTCCAGCTGCCTCCAGATATAGATGATGAGAACTTCAGCATGCTTGAGACTTATTTTGCATATGGCTATGTAGAGGATTGTACTGTTGTACAAACAGACACTTTAATTTGATTTAAATTTAAGTTTGCTCTTTGGGGTGTTGTGTGTGTGTGCATGTGTTACCCTTTTCCTGTGGCCATTTTTCAAAGTGGAAATTGCCGAACATTTAAGGGCTCATTTTTCTTAGCAGAAATTCAAGATTGGGTGTCTGCTGCTGTTGGATCAGTGGCTTGAGGGCTTGGGGATCGAGGTCTCCAAGAATCTTTCGGTCTCTACTTCATGGTTCTATGTAGTAGAGCTGCAGTGGAAGAAAGTGGAGGGGGACAAAATGGCATGCTTTCCACCCAAAAATCAAATGCCCTTTAAAATCTCTCCCAAAGTATCCCCCACATAATTCATCAACTGTTCCTCTACAATGGAAGTTGAGGAAAAAGTCTTTCTAGAGGCGCATTTCTGCCTGAATGTCTGTCTGAATCACTGAACCTGTCTGTTCCGGCACCGAATGACACTGTTTTAAAATCATAGTCCCCTGGAAAATCTGGGTCTGGCTTTTACTTTTCATTCTTTATAGCTGGTATATAAGCTTGCTTAGACATTTGGTAAGCAAAGCCATCTTTTTGCTCCCCTGTTACATTTACCTACCTGTTGAGAGCTGCTGTTTCATCAAAGGCAGTGCTAGAAGGCATCATTCCTTTTAGGAGAAACCAGCTACAGAGCCTCCTGCAGACATTTATTTCTGCATGGACTTTCGGTAAAATGAAATCTCTGCTTTTGAAATTCCTAGTGAGGCAAAATATACCCAAGTATCACAGATTTTTATTTCCTCTACTCCTTTGGTTTAATTTTGAATTCCTAGGTCTTCACTTTCATGTACCTAAGAACTGAAAGCAATATGTAAATTTTAAACCAAGAAACAGAGACTGTGGCCAAATGATGACATCACGTCAGAGTTGCCAGTCTTGAGTTTTTTCGAAAGAGTGCAGAAGCATGTTGAACTCTTTGGCAGGGTTCCCATCGTATTGGAAGAACCCCAAAAATAAATGAATGAGCTCTTCTGCTGATGTAAGATCCATTGTGTCTGATCCATTCATGAGCAGCGTGGGCCTAGGGCCATTTCTGGTATTGGTACTCTTAACTCACATCTGTTTATCCCTATGCTGCCTCTGCAATGTAGGTATCTAAGGGAAACAAAGATCCTACTTCAAATGCACATACATGCTAAGTGAAATAAGGCTTAAATATTGCATGGCCTCTCTTAAATGAGACCTTCAAAGTATAAATAATTTAAAGGGCAAAATAAAAGACAGATAGTGGGAAACAGGGAAATAGATCTTTCGTAAATGGGAAGGGATGAAGGAACATGAGAAGGAGGAAAGAAGAAGGCGATATAAAAAGATTAAGATGTGCTATGCACATGTACAATTCCCCACAATGAATGAACTGCAATTATTACATACTGCAAATGTGTAATAATATAAGTAAATAAACACACATAGGGAAGTCAGTTACACCTCTTCATCAGGCTGAAGAACAAACTATTGAGGAATTAACTTGGGCCAGGACAAAATATGGAGTTAGCTGTATAATATTAAATTATCCAGAGATTTCTGGGAAGGAAAGAAAATTCTGTACCTTTATAATTTAGCTGGGGAAAGTTACTTTCTTTCTAATACAAGGAAGATACATTTAAAAATAGTTGTAAATGTCTTTGCATTCAGTTTTTCTCCTTTGTAAAAATCCCAAATATGCTTCACTTACATTTTAAATGTAGAACACAAAATTTAAAACCTGTTTCAGTTTGACAGCATTCCTAAGCTGGATGAGAAGGGCAAAGAAGAGGAAGCTGAAAAGGAGAGAAACAAGGTAGCCCCTTCTGATGAGAGGCAGCCTAGTCACTGCGGGGAACTTCAAATCACGGCACTGCCACAGCTTTGTGCTAGGGTGTTTTGTGTATTCATATCGCTGCCTACTCCTTGGTACTGCTTGGTAGGGTGTGTGGTCCTCAGGGTGAACTTTGCCAAACAGGCATCAAAAGTGACTGACTGAAGTTTTGCAGTGTCTAGAGGAGAACTGCTACTTTTCAGCTTGGGGAAGACGTTTATAGTTTGTACAAAGAGCACTACAAACACCTTGAAGTTCTGCATGGAACGGGTTATGTGTGCCCTTGGGTGTTGTTCAATTCTCTATCTATCATTCTGTCCAAAAATAGTGAGCATTCTGGGAAAAATAACTCTAAAGATTAACTAAAATAACTGTCTTCCTTTTGCTCAGAATCTGACACAGGTGTATGTCTACATAATCTTGAAACTCCAGGAACAACTTTGAAACCAGTAAAAACCTCTTGTAACAAAAAAAGAATGCTGTCAAGTAGTGAAAAACAAAGTGTGGTGAAAGTGTCAGAATGAAGGCAATGATGGATGTGCCATTTTAGAAAGATAAAACTAACAACAAATTGACTCATGGAGTTTTCCAAGAAATCACTCCTGTTTTTACAGGGTCTCATTCTGTAATTCAGGCTGGCCTTGGACTCTTGGCAATCCTCTTGCCTCAGCCGCCTGAGGTGTGTGTCACCACATTTAGCCAATCACCCCTCCTGTGGAAGTCTAGTATCTGCCATTTGCGTACCAACATCTGTTTTCCTATAGCTCCTTCCTGTGAATCAGGGGTGTCCAACCCTGGTTAGGAATTGGAACTGGGTTGCACAGCAGGAGGTAAGTGTCAGATGAGCAAGGGAAGCTGCGTTTATAGCCAGTCCCGTCTCTTCACAAGCATAACCACCTGAGCTCTGCCTCCTGTTGGGTTAGCATGCTGTTAGATTCTCACAGGAGCATGAACCCTGCTGTGAACTGTGCATGCGCTTGTGCGCTCCTTGTGCGTTTAATGCCCGATAACCTGAGGCGGAGCTGACACCAGAATGCTAGAGCTGAGGAAGGTAATTATTGTGTATAACAAACCTATACTAATAAAAAAAGAAACCAAACAATAAATAATTTTTTTAAGCCCTGCTGTCACTAGTCCATGGAAAAATTCCCTTCCTTGAAACCAGTCACTGGTGCCAAAAAGATTGGGGACTTGACTTCACATAGCACTGTGGGATAGAAAAAAGCATTATCTCAGGTAACACATGGGAAATAAAGATTTCCAAGCTTAGTGACTTGCTAGGGTTCCTTGGGTTTTTGATGACAGAGCCCAGACTACAGCAAAAGTCTTTCTGTCTCTGTCCCATTGAGCAACTGCATTGTGCTGGGTATGGATGTCCTTGGTACAGGAAGTGAGTAGTGAAAAAAGCCTTTGAGGGTCTTACGTTCTTATCTGGAAGACAGATAATAAACGAGGACAAAGAGGCGATTGCTTATGTCAAGTATTCGGAAGAAAACAAGCATATGATAAAAGATTTGGGAAGGATGATCAGAGATCACCTGAAGAAAGGATTATGTTCTCTAAAAAACTGAGGAACCAAGCAGGCCAGAGTTCAGAACACAGCAAGTTCTGATTCAAATTTAGCAAGTTTAGATTCAAACACAGCAAAGTGCAGAGCTCGCAAGGCTACAAATAGATTGATGCCCTAGGGATCTCTAGAAGCTGGTGTTACTTAGAGCTACATGAGAGAAAGAGTAGAGTAAGATGAACTTGTAGAGGAAAGCGGGCCTGGGAACTGCAGCGCCTGTCTGGCCATAGAGGATTCCTGATTTTATTGTAAGTGAATGAAATTCCAATGAGGGGTTTTACACATAGCAAGTGGGAGAGGGAGAGAGAATGATCTGGTTTATGTGTTTGAACATCACTTTGACTGCAGCACAGAGAATGAGAGGCCAGTTAGGAAGTCACTTCGGATGCAGGCAAGACCTGACTTGAATTAGAGTCAGTTCCTCTGATTGGAAAGGAGTGGGAGGCTCTGCAATTCATTTGGGATATAGAACCAGAAGAGTTCTACTATGGTCTCAAGTTGTGGTTCATAGAGAAGGCTCTGCAGTTGGAGCATAATTTAAAATCCTCTACTTACTGGCTATATGATCTAAGGTAAACTATATATTTTCTGGGACTCAAATTTCTCAGTTTGGTAACCATGGATAGTGGTAGTATTTACCACAGAGATTTATTCAACAGATTAAGTAAATTCAAACCACTAGGAAGAGATTATGTGTCCATGGACTCTGGCGACACAAAGACTTTGGCCAATGTGGTGTTGGTGGAAAAGAGTGAGGCACCGACCTGGACTGATTGTCACCCTGAGGGGCCTGAATGGAGAGATTGGAAGTCCTTCCTCTTTCCAGTTTCTTGCTGGGGAGCTGTTGGATGAGCACACCGTTCAGTGGTCTGAACATGTCTTCCCGGAATTTAGCAGTGGCAACTTCATTGCCATTGCAGTGGTGCTCAGAAGTGTGGCCTTTAGGAGGAGATTAGCCATAAGTGTGGAGCCATGATAAATGGAATTAGTGACCTTATAAAAGAGGTGTGAGAGAGCTGCTTCGCCATTCCACTCTCATCCTTATACCCTCCACCACGTGGGGACATGGCAACCAGGCACCATCTTGGAAGCAGAGTGTGAGCCCTCACCAGACACAGATGTGCATTTTGATCTTCGCTTTTCCAGCCTCCAGGACTGTGAGAAATTTCTCTTGCTTATAATGTAATGGGGAAAATGCATTTCCAATGTCCCAAGAAAATGGGGTTAAGTGTGGGTAGATAGCTTCAGAGGAGGAGGAATTTAGACTCCGTTACCTTTAAAGTTTCTGTTCAGTTCTAGAATTTTACTTGTAGGCTTCTTCAGGAACTGTGGCTTTATTAACTACATAGTAATAGAGAAAAAATAAATTACTTGAGTATTTTTAGTTTTTTCCTATTGAAAAGTATGTTTACTTCTGTGAGAAATTGTTTACCATCTAAGAATTTACAGACCAGTTTAGGGTAGGGTTTATTCACA